CTCTTTTGTTAAAAGATTAGTTGTGGTATGTATTGGTGACAATTTACCTTTTTAAGTGAAGAATGAAGCAAAACAGACACTAAACACCTCAGCCTTTTTGATGTTATCCATTATTAGCTCTCCTGTCCTGCTAAGTGGATGATCTAGACTTTCCTCATGAAGGACATGGGGAGCAGCAATTTATTTCAAAATATTCTACCCACTTTCCAGCAGGGATGTTAAACAATACCATATATACTTCGTACAATGTACTATTCAATCCTGTTAAGTTGCCATTTTATTGTTTTGATTAGCTCTATTACTTCTTAAATAAAGCCGCATCCAAGCAACCGATAAAGTTTATGCTGAAATTCATTCACGCTAATAGACACCATTTCCAGCACAGTAATGTTAAAATATCAAAATATTGAGAAAATACATCAAAGAAAAACTGCTCCTAGAAATCTTGTCTGAAATGTGGGACCATCTGGCAATGTGGCATTTTTAATTGGGTTTCTACTTACCATTGCAAGCCAAATACCAAACAATACATTACTGCCAGCATTCCCTGTAAACTGTGCACTAGTGTGGCCACTCAGGAGAGATTCAAATGCTGCCCAGCTGACTAGTAGAATGCCCACAGCTAGGTTTTGTTTCTACTGGTGATGCACAATCGCACACACTTTGGTACAAATAAAATTTATTCTACACATAGATGGAAAAGATTAGAGGGAACATCAATTACCACCCATAGTCTCTTCACTCCAAGTTGATAAAGAAGTTACCTGCAATCTGTACTGAGCCATCTTCTCCAAGAAGAATATTCCCTGCCTTCACATCCCTGCAGAAAATAAAGCAACAGTAAGTACTCTTAAGCAAAAACTACAAACTATTTCTTGCACACACAACACAGGAGTGTAATGTGGGTTTGGCTGGGCAAGGAGATGTTAGGGCCTTGAAAGTATCTTTATACTTCGTGACTTCCTCTTGTTCTTCTGGAAAGTCCTGAAAATGGCAGTAGCTTGACGTGTCTATCAGTCTCAGCTAAATTCACTTCCAATTTAATGTATAGAATGCTCTTCCAAACCCAGCATAGGGTATTTGCCTGCCCCCTCCTCCCAAAAAAGCATATATCAGAACAAAATTAGACAAAGACAGCCCATGGATAGGGAGTCTACATTTATTTTTATAATGGTAAATTGGAGTCAATAGCATTATTTTGAATAATATTTGAATATATAACATCCTGTCAGCTGTGACAAAGACTACATCTAGACTACAAAGGTAAGTCGGAAAGAACTCAAATACACAAATTGCAATCCAAAATTTGCATATTTTCCCACTTTTCTGTCCAAAGAGGCTTTTCCAAAATTTGGCACCTCTACACGGCGGCAAATTTTAGAAAGAACTACTCTTCCGACACATCCTTTCTTCCTCGTAGAACAAGGTTCACAAGGAGGGCAAAAGAGTGCGTCCATTTTTCTGAATTTTTTTTGGAAAAGCAGACATGTTCCTTGGACACAGCATTAGCGCTGCCGTCTATATGTAGCCTTAGTTACTAGCGGTGTCCATCTTGAGATGACACGTGCATCAGTAATGGAAGAGCTAACAAGAGGTGGTGGTACGGGAGGAGGAGTAGTGCAGAGTCCCTTCCTCCTCCCCCTGCCAGGATCTGTACCAGAGGTGTTCACAGATTAGGGACACTCAGAGTACTGAGATTCAAGTGTACCTCATCTACCTACCTTACCCCTGTAGTATCAGAGAACCAACATATAGTTTTATTGTAGCAACTGGCGACTCAATTGTAAGTAGGACAAATGTTCACTGCAAGCTAGACAGACCAACTCATTTTACCCAGGTCAAAAGAGACAGAGAGAGTGTGTGTGTGGAAACTTACATTTATATACTCATTCCAAAAAATACCACAGTACACTGGGTTAAAAACCATATTAACCTTAACCCTCCCAACAACTCCTCTTGTAAATGGACATACAACAATCCCAGTACCAATAGCATTTGAGAGTTGTTTACTCTTTTATACACACTGGGGCTACCTCTATTTTGTGCTCTCTTGCACAAGAAAATATGCAAATGCAGTGAAGCAGTGAATATCGCCATGCCTCGTTTGCATACTTAATGTGCCACCATTTTGCTCAAGGGGCTTTTGTGCAAAAAGGAGCCATCTACACAGCTCCTTTTTGCGCCAAAACCCCCTCTTGCGCAAGAGCCAATCTGCCGCTTTTTTTCAGGCAGAACAGCTTTTGCACAAGGAGGGTTTTGTGCAAAAAGGAGCCATGTAGATGGCTCCTCTTTGCGCAAAAGCCCCTTGCTCAAAAATGGTGCTCATTAAGTATGAAAATGAGGTGCGGCAATAGTCACCACTTTGCCTCATTTGCATATTTTCTTGCGCAAGAGAGCGCAGTATAGACATAGCCTAAGAACTTAAGCCTTTCCTGAATTCTGTCACAGGCAAGCTCTCTTGGAGCACAGGAGGATGGATTCCACCAGGATTTTGTTCCAAACAGCATCTAGAACCGAGAAAGTTTAGAAGGTGATAAAAACTGGATAGCAAATGGCACCAGTTCGCCAGATATGGAGATAGCCCTTCTTCAGCAAGAAATATGCGCTAGCCAAACAAAACCAGCTCCAGGAACTCCTCCTAGCAGTTACCCAGGTACAGAGATTGTGCAGTGAAGCCTTCTGGTTAACTGGCAGAGTAAGTCACTTTCTACAGCAACATTGCCATGCCATTTCCTTCTGGCTGCCAGTTTGTCTCACCCCAAGACAATGCTGGTTGACAAAAGGTTGCAGATCAAAATGGTATAAGGGAAAGGTGGAGGGTTGAGTTTGGGAAGAAGAGAACAGCACGAATGGAGGGCAGCTGTTGGTGTCTTGTCCCCCTATGCTAATACAGGTGGAACTAGCACCAAATGACTCTTTCCGTTTACTAACAATTCAGCACTAGATACGATAACAGTTTTCCGAGTAAGATCGGTCTAACACTTGGCTGTGCAATGGTACAAAGCCTATAATTCACCCTCTGGCTACACTACATCACAGCTGGCTAGCACACTAAGTAAAATTTACTGTCTATTCAATCAAGTACTAGAGATAAAACTTGGCTGACATTTACAAAACAGTCAGCTAAGGGAAATGTGTTAACTATCATGCACTGTGCTATTTAGAAACCAGTTCCATTTCCACTTACACACAAACAATTGGGTAACAAGCTCCATGCAGACTCAGAGAAGGCCAGATTGTTCCACCCTTGCCAGGATATGTTGCTGAATAATACTGGGTATTAAGAGAGTTAAGGCAGGCACTTAGAGTGCAGCTAGTAAAAGCATCAGCAGAAGAATCCTTTTATTCCTTGAATCGCGCAAGTTCTCAGAGGTTTGCTAAGAGTCTTAAAATGGTGCTCTATGCTAGCTCCAAAAAGACCTTCTGTTTTAAAGTTTAAAGAAAACTGTCAACTTATAGAGGCTGCAAAAAATTAAGTCAAATTTGAGAACTATATCATTGTTCAAGGTGGCATTTTATCCAACACATTTTCTAAGAAAGCTATTACTCAATGTGATATACACTAAAGATGTTAAACTGCGGTTAACTGACTAGTCGAATAGTAGATGGAATTTCCATTGACTACTTGACTAGTCGATAGGAACGTCCGCATTCCTCCTTTGAAATGTACAAAAGCCCCCACTGGTGCTCTTGTACATTTCAAAGGAGAAATGCAGAACTCTGCATGCAACTTGGGGCCAGAAGGAAGTCCCACTGACTCTGGGCTGCAGGCGTGTGTGCCTGCTTTGAAATATACAAGAGTCCCTACTGGGGGCTCATGCATTTCAAAGCCATGAAGCCTGTGGTCAGTGGGGGACTCAGAGTTTGCCGCTGACTCTAGGCTCTATGCTGCGCTGCATGCCACGCAAATCCCAGGGTCTGCTGGGGACTCCCCAGAGGATCCCGGGTTCTGGGGAAAAGCCACTCGGAACATGGGGTTAACTGGAGAGTCCCCAGCTGACCCCGGACTCCACAGCATTTTGAAGTGGCAGCACCACACAGCTAAGCCGCAGATCAGCTGTGCGGCAGCTGCCCCTTTGAAATGCTGCCTTGGGGTTTCAAAGCAGCAACGCCAAACAGCTGATCCCCGGCTCAGCTGTGCGGCGCTGCTGCTTTGAAGTACCCCTTCTTCCCCCTCTCCCTCCTTTTTTCTGCCTCTATCTGATAGAGGCAAAGGGGGTGGGGTATCAACTCGCCATCTGACTAGCCGATAAGCAAATGCTCATCAGATAGTCAACTAGTCCTTAACATCCTTAGTATACACTCCAGGCCATAGCCACAAAATGACTCCGATTCAAGCTATTCTTAGGCATGCTACCATTTTCGTTTTACCATATCACAGAAAAATTCCATCCTTTCCATCATGTTCATTGCTTTCCAAGCTCACTGAAACATCTAAAGAGTTCATTGAAACATCTAAACATCTATCATTGCCTTCATGCACCACTGCATGGCCTAGGCCTTACCATCAGTATAACCAAAAAGGAGAATAATTTGAAATTGGAGTTTCTTAATGTTACCCACAAGAAACACATGAAAATAATCACTTAAAGCTGCCTCCCACTTATAAGCATTTCCTGGTTTGAATCAAGTCAAAAGCTGAATAGCGAGTGATTTATTGTCCAGGATATGTTTATTACCACATACAAGAATTTGAAGGTGTTTCCTATTCAAAGAGTAATCATTATAACCTCGATTAATACATTCCTCAATATTTATCTGAGTTTACTCAGCCCAAGATACGGTTATTTATCTTGGAAAGAAAAAGTACCTACAAGTTACAATGAAATTAGTAGTTATTCACATTTTAAATGAAGCTTCAAAATATTAAGTGAGCAGTTGAAACATGTGCTTGCAACACAGGGATGATTTTAAGAACAGGTTAGACAAACACCTGCCTAGGTACACATGGTTCTGCCTCAGTCCAAGGAGCTGGACCTGATGGCCTCTGAGGTCCCTTCCAGCTCTACATTTTTATGATTCTACTATTTTTATTATTTTAGTGACTACAGGCTAGTGCTATGCTTGGTGTTAAATAGAGATGAGATACTCCCTACCTCAAAATATTTATAATTATATAGAGTAAATAAAGTTAAAACAGGTGAAGAAGAGCAAGGAAGCAATCAGGTAAAGGGGTTCAGTGGTCAGCCAGCCAGCTACCAAACTACCTGAATTTTTTTTAGGCAAAACACCCCATGTAAAGTGCTGGCAGGTACAGCGCTACTCACGGAGTGCAGCAATAAAAAGGCTATTGGGTGTCCATATTGTCAGCCGTCAGCGTGACCACACTTGCAGCACCTTTTGGAGCAGTGCATTCTGGGCAGCTCACAGACCATCTCTTCTGCCACAGAGATTTGTGGGGAGGTGCAGGAAATCCTGGATCCTGTCCCAATGCCCCATGGTGCATCACTTTGCATCCCAGAAACCCGTGCACTTCTGTCTGCCTTTGGCACCATCTCTCAACAGCTTCTTTGCTGCATGGTTTGCCGCCTCACTGTGCAGGAATGGATCCCCAGCTATTGATGAAAGTGCTGACACATCATAAAGGCAGTCAAGTTTTTCCCCAAGCTGCAAAGTGACCATAAGGAGTCTGAGCAGAATTCATATGAAACATTTATTTTGACATTATAGAGGAGATGGTCACAGTGAAATGTTGCTTTTGGGCTTGGGAAACAAGCTCTGTGTGGGTGGGATTGCAGAGTCAGGCAAGCCTGGGATGCCTAGCATTGGCTGCAGAACTTTCAGATGAGGAAACCCACTTTCATGAGACTGTGCACTAAG